AGCAACCCCAGGAGACTGCCACCTCCCCTCTTTCCATAGGACAGGAGGAAGACTAGAGTTTGGAGCATTGGAGACAGGGGAGAACTATCTGAGATTATTTATCTTAAAAGTGACGAAGTTACTGAAGACAGTGCTAATAGGCTAAGCTATAGCAACGTGTGCCTTAGAAAGACCTTGGAATGACCACCACCACGAACTGGGAGTCCTACACTACCAAGCCAGAACAGAGACAGGCAACCAAGTCATAAAACATCCATCGCTCACCAAACGACAGCTGGCATCTCCCACTGCCTCTCTTTACAGCTTCAGCGCTGATCCTAGAACCGAGAGCTGCAGGTTGGCTGAGCTGGTGTGCCATTTTACATCACAGCCAATCCGGCTTCAAACCAGGACGGCAAAGAATCGCCAAAGAGGGTAAAACAGGCTATTTGCTTGTCCCAGCAGATGCACAATGTTACATCATGGAGAGTGTTAAAAGGTAACAGGCAAGGAATGAGGATTGGACAGGAACAAGAACATGTGTCACTACAGGGCGTGCGGCTGTGGAGAGAGGTTAGTCTGCTCAGATATTTCTGAGCCACGGAGCAGCAAGCCCAACCCTTCTATACAGTTTTAATGTTTTTAATTGCTTGTCAGGAAGACTTTACAACTAGGTTTAGTCAAGAATTTATGGCGAGAGAGAGAGAGAGAGAGAGAGAGAGAGAATAACCTGACCAGAGCACAGAATGAACAGCTCCTTCACAGAAAGGATTCTCCAAAACAGAGAACTACCTCTGACTTCTTGTGTAAAGGAGACACTATCAACCACGTCATGGTACTTACACTCTACACTAATACAATTGTGTCTTGGGACCCAGTTAAAACACTGTCCCCTGACCTTCCCCTTCTTCTGTGGCTGAAGCTTTGGACAGCACCAAGACATTGACCACATTATAGTCCTGCCTACGCTGAAGTTGGAATCCTATTACAATCAGGTTCCTGACACCTGTAATGTAGATGGACCCACAGCACACAGCATTTGGACTCCATGCCGCCATCCCACATGCTTATCCCTTTTCCACCATCAAAGGGAACAGACTTCTGGCTGAGAAGGGTAGAACACTGGAGACATTAGGGAAAGATGACGGGGCAAGTCACTTGCGGGCCCTCCTGCTAGACCACAGAGCCAACCAAACAGTAGGACACCCAGAAACTTCACCAAAGCACCTCCTATTTGACCTACACCCAAGGGTGGGGCTGCTAAATGCACCTGTCTCTAGGGTACCCATCAGAAGACACACAGCAAAGAACAAAGTGAGATGATCCCTAGCAGAATATTGCATGCGAAGGAGCTTTCAAGCTACACAGCCCACCGGGGACTGCCTGAACATAGGGCTACAAAGCAGCTGCTTCAAGTGCTGCAGTGAACGGTTACCCCTTAAACATGTATCCCAGTCCGGGGGGGCGTCTGCTCTCGACTCTTGCGGGTTGGTCTCAGCACTTAGGGGGGCACGTACGCAAGGAGAGACTCCTTCTGTACCAGGCCTCTTCATAGCCTCGCAAAAGCCAGGTTCCAAAAGGCAAGCAACGGACTGCCCCCCAGCCAATCCACAATGGAGACCTCCATGTACCTTCCCCCCCTTACTCCTGGGGGGAGGGGGAGCAGTGGCCCATCCCATGGCCCCTCCCCCACAAGCCACACACCCTACTGTCATCCCCCCCAGCTCCATCAAATGCTTGGAGCTCCTCCACTCCACGATGCAGACCTGAGCCTCCACCCCATGGGGCACAGCCCCCACCCCACGGGGCACAGCCTATAGGGCACGGCCCCCCAGCACAGCCTCCACCCCACGGGGCACAGCCTATAGGGCACGGCCCCCAGCACAGCCTCCACCCACAGGGCACAGCCCCCACCCCACGGGGCACAGCCTATAGGGCACGGCCCCCCAGCACAGCCCCACCCCACGGGGCACAGCCCATAGGGCACGGCCCCCAGGGCTCAGCCCCCCCGCGGCGGGACTCACCCGTGTAGTGCACCACGCAGGTCTGTCCGCGCTTGGGGAAGGTCCGCCCTGCGGGGAGAGACAGAGAGACCGTGAGCGGTGGGACCGGGGGGAGGGGGATGGGGCGAGGCCGGGGGTCCCCCGGGGGGCAGCGGGCCCGGGCTCCCCTCACCGTCTCCGGGGGCGATGGTCTCCACGTGCACGCCCATCCCGCTGCCACAGCCGCCGCCGCCCGCCCGATCCCGCAGCCGCCGCACTCAGCTCAGGAGGAGACCGCGTGCGCATGCGCAGCCTCCTCGGCTCGGCCCGGCCGCACGCCGCCATAGAGAGCTCGCCGCCTAGAGAGGCCCCGCCCTGCGCGGAGGCGGCGGCCATCTTGCGTGAAGTCCCCCACCCCACCCCACCCCACCCCCTCGCTCCCCTGCGCGCGGAGCCGTGTCGGGCCGCCGCAGGGCGGCCATCTTGGCCCCACAGGGCGCGCCGGGATCGTTGCC